GTCAAAAAAATTTACGAAATTTTTTTATAGAAATGTGTTTCGTTGAAAATTTTGATGGAAATTTTTTATCAAAAAACTTGACGAAAATATTTCGTTGAAAATTTTCGATGGAAATGTGTTTCGCTAAAAATTTCGACGAAAATTTTTTTTGGTCAAAAAATTTAACGAAAATTTTTCGTCGAAAACTTTCGCCGAAATTTGAAATCTGTAAAGAATTTTGATGAATATTTTTGTTGTCAAAATTTTTTGATGACGAAAATGTTTCCGTCGAAAACTTTCGCCAAAATTAGAAATCTGTAAAGAATTTTGATGAAATTTTTTGCCGTCAAATTTTTTTGATGACGAAAATATTTCTGTCGAAAACTTTCGCCGAAATTTGAAATCTGTAAAGAATTTTGATGAAATTTTTTGCCGTCGATATTTTTTGCCGTTAAAATTTTTTGATGACGAAAATATTTCCGTTGAAAACTTTCGCAGAAATTTGAAATCTGTAAAATTTTTATGAAAATATTTTCCATAAAAATTTTTGATGTAATTGTTTTACTTTAAAACTTTTCTTTTAATGTAATTGTGATTTTGTTTTCACATAATGGGTATGGGTCAAGTTTTGGGTCAGTGGGTCGATATTAAAACGAGTCAGGTCTAAAACTGACCCAAATAAAAGTGGGTCAGTATTTAAACCAGTGCAAAAAATATAGGTATTTATGGGTCGGGTCAAGGTCGGATCAAGAGCAGGGCAAGTGAACCAGTTTTTTTGCACAACCCTAGCCATGACAATGCCTGCAAGAAAGCTGCATAAACAGATATAAAGATATCTCTTAGGAATTAGTTTTATCACTGGTAGAAATTAGAAATGTTATTATCATTTTTGCTTCTTCCACAGCAAAAGACAGTACAATACAAGCTCCATGGTGAACAATTTTTAGTATTCAAAAATGTCAAAACTCAATATCTAGTTTCCATATGATAGAAACTACTGCTTACAGGGAAATGGCTGATATTGCTGATTCAAATGTCTCAATTTTAAATACTTGATGGTCAAATCTCCATATATAAACAACAAACAACTGTCATGCCTTATCCCAAGTCACAATGTATAAGGAGAGGAAATGTTCTTTGGCATTGAGATCAGCATAGTTCTAATTCAGGCCCCTTTTTCTTAGTCAATTTCAGCGTGTGATTTCTTCCTAGCAGTCATCTTGGTAAATTTGTAGAGGAATGGAAGAGCCATTTGAATACAGTTTGCAAATTATAGGTGGCAAAAAAATTAATTTATTGCTTTTTTAATAAAAAAATTACGAATAAGTAATCGTTTTGAAATTAATTACGAAAATATAGCAGTCAAACACGCCCCATAGGGGCGTGACCGGTTGGAGAGAGACACGTCCAATGTTGGGCGTGACCTAAGCGTGACTCACGCCCACATGGGGCGTGACCAAGTTGGAGAGAGACACGCCCAAAGTTGGGCGTGACCGAGGAGAGAGACACGCTCAATGTTGGGCGTGTTTCACCAGGTGCTGCCACGTGTCACAAAAGTCAATAATTTGACCGTAAAACTTTGGAAGTCCATAACTTTTGACTCGGGTATCCGAATTAGGTAATTTTTTTTGATTCCACATAACTTTTCAAGATCTACGTAATGACACCTAATTTGACCTATTTTGTCTCTCACAAAAAAATTTGAATTTACAACAATGATACCATAATTATTAAAAATAACATGACTTTGTTACCTTATAATTATTACTAAAAATAATCTAACATTTTTATAATCATGAACAAAAACTTAAAAATCAAAATAAAACGAAAAGCACTCACTTAACTTTTTAATATAAATTATTCGATATTCTGTCACCGACAGATGTTAACTTTTATTAATTATAAATTTCATAAAATTCTTCATTCAAAATTTTAATATATATTTCAATAACATACATAATTAACCTTATCATAACTTACCATAATCATAAGGATCTTTATTATCAATGTTTCTAATCATAACAGTGGTTTTCTGTCCATTAATTTTTGTTTAAACGTTCTTATGGTATCATTATTGTAAATTCAAATTTTTTTGTGAGAGACAAAATATGCCAAATGAGGTGTCATTACGTAGATCTCGAAAAGTTATGTGGATTCAAAAAAAAAAATTACCTAATTCGGATACCCGAGTCAAAAGTTATGAACTTCTAAAGTTTTACAGTCAAACTGTTGACTTTTGTGCCACGTGGCAGCACCTGGTGAAACACGCCCAAAATTGGGCGTGTCTCTCTCCTCGGTCTCTCTCCAACCAGTCAATAAATTAATTTCAAAACGACTACTTATTCGTAATTTTTTATTAAAAAAGCAATAAATTAATTTTTTTGCCAATTATAGGTTACGATTACTTTGTATAATAATTGAAATCACAATTCAAAATATTGATAATTTAATTATGTTACTATAAATAAGAAAATAATCAATTGAATTGAATTGTATTAATTTTTATTATAAAATTAAATTTTAATTTAATTTAAAATAAATTAAAAATTTATACACACGTATAGAGCTGTCAAAATGGGTCAGCCCGAATTGGGGTTAAAAAGTCCGCAAGGCCAAATAAACCTCAATAATAAAGGCCCGTATGGGCCACAAGCCTTACCAGCCCAGAAGCTATCCAAAATTATAATTTCATAAAAAAAATATTATCATATTCAATACATTAAAAAATATTTTAGCAAATAAATATTTAACACTTTCTTAACATATTTTATATAGATTATAAATTTTTTATAATTTAATTTTGTTAATAAAATTATTTGCACACAAATATACAAATGAAAATGTAAATGAAATTTTAATGTAATTAAAAATTTAGTTACTACCTTTACTAAATTCATCATCAAAGGATGTCATCAAATAAAGATTTCCTCACATGAGTCATTATAGAATACATCAAATCTAGTGAAAAACTAATGGAAAAATGATTGTAGAGTAAATACCATTTTTGGTTTTCAGCAAATTTCACGATACCCTCTTTAGTCCCTAGCAAATAAAAAGGCTATTCGTGGTCCTTAAGAAATTCAAAATGGATCCATTTTAGTTCTTTTGAAGAACTAATGTGAGTCTTTTTTGAATTTATGAGAGATCACGATTTCAACTAAATGGGTCTATTTTTAATTTCTTAGGGACCACAAATAGCTTTTTTATTTGTCAGGAACTAAATCGGGCATCGTGAAATTTGCTGAGGACCAAAAAGGGTATATACTCATGATTTTAATACAAGTATTGAATAACTACTCTTAGTATGCTATATATTTGAAAGTAAAATCACTGATTTTCTTCAACCACTACCGTTATAAAAATCTTTTTAGTTATTATTATCCACAATATTACTAAGGTGCATTGTATACAATATGCTTCAATAACAAATTTGGAAATATAATATGCTTAGATGTCAATAGAAATTTTCAATTTTATTAATCCGCATATGAAATTCTCTATTAAAACATATCACTGCTGAAAAATTAATTTTTGTTATAAAATATTATGGATGACCTTTCACATTGTTCATAACATGTGACTCTTTATTTTTCATGACTTTGGATGTATTCTATAGCTATCACACTAATGGTGTGTTGAATTGTAAAAAAATATCCAAGAGCAAGTGTTATAAAATATTATGGATGAGCTTTCATATAGTTCATACTACGTGAGTTTATGAACTATAACCATGACCATGACCATGACCATGACCTTTTACATGGTTCATGAATTGTGACCTTTTCTTTTTCATGACTATTGATGTATTTTACAACCATCACATTAATGGTGTGTTGAATTATAATTATTCTCCTAATTATGTTTGGAATCCTATATAAGGACATTTCTTAGAAGAAAAAAGTGGTACTCAGTGAATTTAGAATAAATAATATTTTCTTACACTTCATTTTCTTTTATTTCATATTTCACTTTCTCTTATATTCTCCATCAAATTCATAGCAATTTTGACTTATATTATGTTAATAATTTATTTTATATTTATAAATATTTAAATTTATATAAATTTTAAATTAAAAATTTTAATAAAGGAAAATTTTGGCCAGCGAACTAACCCTAACATATCCCGCTAAATTATGAGACTTTGAGGGTTAGTGCTAAAAAAAAGCAATAACACAAAAAGGCCTTAATTGGATAGGATCAAATATAGAATTTTGCGGGTTGTCTCACCTATTTTAACACCTCTACACACGCACACGTGAAGATACACACATGTGCATTCACACACACATATATATATATATGAGTCGAGATCATTTTACACCCGTAAGTTACACTTTCAATCTTGTCCGTTGATCCACTTATATAATAATAATAATAATAATAACTTAACAAAGAAATTTTTATAATATGTTTAGTTATTTAATTTTTTTGTACTATACTTAAAAAAATCATTTTCACTATTGCATTAAATATATATTATATAGTTGACACTTAATTTATACTAATATTTAAAAGTTAATTTTTTTAGTATATATATTTAAAAGTTAATTTTTTTAGTATATAAGTTAAAATTAATTTTAAGTATTTTTTATGGAATTATTTGAATTCACATTTATTATATTTTAATTAATTAATAAAACTTACATTTAATATATTTTTTAAAAAGTATTTTTATATATTAAAAAAATTAGTCAATTATATTATTGTATTTTCATTTGTATATGTATTATTTTATTAAAAAATACATGTCTAATTAAAGGTCATGCCTTTATAAATAAGCATGTGACCTAATTTCTAAAAAAAATATTTTAATTAGTCAAGTATATATTTTGTTTGTAACTGGTCATGTTAATTCGGATAAGTTATATAACCTAACAGCATGCCCATCACGGATCCACGGAGATAAGAAATATATATATATATATATATATATATATAACAGTGTGAGCATTTTCTTAACTGCTTTTGTAGTTCAAAAAATTCAAAATTTTGAAGAGAGAAAGAGGACTAAGAGGAGAAAGATGAAGAGGTTCTACAGACAGAGAAAGAAGATTATTAAAAAAACTCCTAAATCTAAAAAGAAGTCTCGGATTGCTGCTGAGCGTCACGGTAATTGCAATTTGCAACACATTGATTATTTGTTCATGTTCTACTCTTTTGGTTTTGAAATTCGAACAAAAACAAATGCAAGAATATTTATTGACTTCTAAAATTTGCTTATAACTTTTTTTTGACAGATGATGATTATAGTGCAGAAGAGAAGATTTTGAGGCAATTTGACATGAATATGATATATGGGCCGTGCGTTGGATTAACAAGACTAGCACGTTGGGAGCGTGCACATGAAATGGGTTTGAATCCTCCCTACCAAGTTGAGAACCTTTTGAAGAGTGTCACTGTCAAAGTTAAATCAGAGTGCTTGTGGTATAAGCGCAAGTAGAACATTCTAATATCTGTCAAAGTTATTCTTCCTGATTGTTGCTGTTTTGAGGAAAATAATATTGACCATATTGATTATCCTTTGATAATTTTGAAAAAAAAAAAAAAAGTTTCCTTCGTAATTTTGCAGAATCATTTGATTTAGCTGTTATTCCAAGGTTATAATTTTTTTATATTTGATTAGTCAATCAGCCATAAATGTATATAAATTGCTATAGGGAGAGAAAGATGGAGTTTCAATTTTGATTGGCCTGATCTATTTGAATTTTGAATTGTGCATAATGAAAACTGGGAGGTAGGGTAGAAAAGTAGGGATTTATTATAATTTAAATTAATGAATTTTTAATGTAATTCGACTTTATGTGGATTGCAAGTTATTTAAATTCGCTGTCTATATTTCTTTTCTTTACTAATATAATTACGGAGGTCATGTTCATTCTCAGAGGCATAACAAAAATTAGAAAGGGATGTGTTAATGAAACAGTGTGATTCTATTATACTGATGTATCATGATCTAAATCATAAACAAAAACTAAAAAAAATGTGAAGTGTAGATTTATTGAACCTTCTTCTCTTATCTACTAAAGGGAGAGAGGATCTTATTTTTTATTAGTTTGTTACACAATTGCTAATTTGCTACTGGTGTCTCTTCCTTTTTTTTTCCCGTAAATCTTATTCGTGTAATCTATCTGTTATCACATTGCTTAGTTTAAATTAAAATGTTTCAATATTCGGGGTACCAAAAAATAAAATAAAATAGATTTTTCAATAATTTGATAAATGCATAACAAGAGCATTTGGACATTATGCTATGGGTACTTACACCGGAAGATCCAAAGCAAAAATAAAGAATATGTGATAAGAGATTATATTATTTTTCCACAGAAAAATTAACTAGAAACCACAGTAAAAATGGTTGGTTCTTACATTATTCCATTATGAATATAAAATCTGTTAGAGCTAATACTTCAAATTACTGTTTAGAGGGAAATGATAGAAAGAAGACACTACTCCGCTTAATTGATCAGAGGGCAAGTGAGATTGATATTTCCAAATTAGAGATTTTCGTCCTTTTCAGTTTTTGGGGGGCAAAAGTAGTGTAATATAAAAATAACCAAACCCCAACTCAGTGTCCAAGAATTTATTTCGATCAGGAGTTCAAGCCTTAACTAAAAAGTAAATTCTTATAATTCTTTTGGATCCAGAGAAAAATCATCTCCCGGAATTAAATGATTAATCTCGTCCTTCTTCCGATGAAAGTGATCCAATGCCAACCATACTCTAAAGATAAGATGACAGAATAAAATTAAGGGAGAATATCTTTAGGTAATGTTTGGTTGGGGAGAAATTTTTTAATACTAGGAATCTGGAGAAAAAGTGAGTTAGATAGGAAAGTTGTAAAAAAATTGTTTGGTTGAGCGAAATTTTATCAGGAAAATTGAATTAAATTTCTGAATTGTATTTGGTGGAAGATAAAATATTGATGGAAAAATTTAATGAAATTTACAAAAATATCCTCCAAAAAACCAGCAAGGTTTTCAATTAGTGTAACGCCCCTCTTGTATGCATCCAAGAGATGCGTTATTGCTAACTTGTATTAGAGTAGCAGCGGAAAAATTTTGTTTAATGGTTGCAAGGCTAAACACAATGAATCTTTACTGAACTACTCAAGATTATAAAACCTTATACTTAAAATTGTTTATTCATGAAAACAGCAAAAGTTTCAAAATAAGCGCTTGCCGAAAATTTTCTTTTTACCAGTAAAACGTACTGTTCTCTAAAATTCATATAAAATCAATCTGATGTCGGGTAAAAATAACTCTTTGCTACGGTGAAACTAGATACACGGGACTTCGCGTCCATATAAAATATATGCGATTCCGAGATGAATAGCCCCTCGAACTCGAACTCGCAAGTTACTCGCGAATTTTCTTAAAAACCTGTTGTCTTGCGTTATTTTTCAGAATTCGTACAGTTACCATAAAATTTTGATTTCTGCAGATTCTTAAAGATACTTTCAGGGGCTTCGCGCGCATATAAATTATGCCGCATTCAGAGGTTCGTAGCCCCGGGACGACAACTTTTAAGTTGCTCGCAAAGTAACAGTTCTCAAAAAAATCCATACTTCCAAAAATCATAGTCATTAATCCAAAACAGCAATTAAACCAAAAGTTCAAGATCAGTAACTGGACCAGAAATTTTCCAAACAAAAATAAACAACTTTTAAAATTCAAAATGACATAATAATGAAACTTCAAGTTATTCTTCTTGCAACCATTAAACAAAATTTTTCCGCTGCGACTCTAATACAAGTTAGCAGTAACGCATATCTTGGATGCATACAAGAGGGGCGTTACACTAATTTTTCCATCGCACAAACCAGCATATTGGGTTTACAAAATGAAATTTAAGATTAACAAAACAAAATGAAATTTACAGAATCACTCTCTTTTGCTCTCTTCATATTGAGTTCTTCGTTCTCATTCTCTACCACTCCCATTTCACTCGCACAAACCAGCATTCAAGATTAACAAATCTACACGGAAAGTGAAAAACCTACAAGAATTGAAACTCAGTATTTTCTCAAATCAAAATGAAAGTAGAAATAAAATATCTTGAGTAGCTCCAAACGCAGTAAATGCCCTCCAGAACCTATTTTTTTTCTTACGCAGTAAACTGAAGCAGGGGTAAACTTGACCAACATTTTATTACCTTTTTCATTTATCCGATTTTGAACAACAATTCCACATCTTCAAACGGTTTCTGAACAGTGCGTTTCTCCAGTTTTTGGTCCTCTTTCTCGTTTCCTAGCCAAGTGAGTTAGATGGGAAAATCTACTGAAAATCCCCAACCAAACGTGGTGAAGACAGATACCCACTTACACTTATCCATCAAAATTTTTAATTCTCCCCAACCAAACACCACCTTAAGTTATCTATCAAAAAAAAAAACCAGTAGCCAAAAGAAAAGAAATTGCGGTCTCAAAAGTATAAGAGATTTGCTAAAAAAACAAGAAACAACACATATTTTCAAAAAAAGGAAAAAAGATAACACAAAAAAAGTATTATTTTATTTGCCTGTACAAATAATGAACAAAAAGCATCAAGAGACAACACTAAACCTCATCTTACACAAGGCTCTAACCGTTTGATGCGATTTTTGAATACAAATCCACCCATAATATAAAGCCTACCCACTTGATGTTCAAGGGAAGACGAAGGTACTAATTAAACGAACATGGCACTTGAATTGCTTGGTCATACTACACTTTTACAACCTATCACTTCGAGATATTTTGTCTAATAATTTAGCAAGCCAACTGATATAGCTTCTATCTGCTATCTGATGCATGAGTGCAATGAAATAAACAGAATCAATAACTTCAGCATCACAACACTATCTACTAGAATCATCATTGTTATATTTGTTTTGATATATTGTTAATATAGTCCAAACAATATGTACACCATATAAAGTTTAATAGGTGAAAGCATGATTACTTTTGTCTAGTAACACGTTGAGATTCGAAAACTTGATGTTTCTTAGTGTAAGATTTCATGCAACCAAAAACACTCTCAAAACCCATAACCTCCAACAATTCTTTCTAATCTTTATGCTTGCCTTTTGATACTACATTATCAGGTATGCATGATGACCAAAAAATTGGTAACAGAGTACATGCTGCTTGTATCAGAAGTCCAAGTGGAAGTCCTGAAAAGTCACTTCCTGTAACATTGATGTATGATGCAAGTGCAACACCAAGGTATCCGCTCACAATGAATGCAAGGGCTATAGCAGACATAAGAAATGCCATTATAGACCCCTCACATCCTGGTGGACACAGATGAGCTATTAAGATACTGAATGGTAGAATCTTGAAGAAAAATAGAACCTCTAAAAATCCAGAGAAAATCACAACATAGAGTGAGTCTGGGACACCCATTTGTCGATAGAAACCTTGCACAAACAAGAAATCTGAAATCATAAGGAATGCCATCATAGCTTGAATGGCTGATATAAGTTTCCTTGGTGGGACAGATTTCAAGTATTGATTATATATGATGCCCCATAGAAGCATTGTTGCCTGGCCAAACACCTTGGAGATACCCAACACTGATGAGTTAATTTTCAAATACTGTGTCTGGTAAAAGAACATGGTACCTGTGAGTGCAGGAATAATGGCATAAGATGCTGCAAACCATGATATTGAATAAGCAATTTCAGGTTTTCTTAGAACAACCAATAACTCTGAAAGCTGTTTCCTTATCCCAACAGATGGACGCTTTGGGAGCCCAAGAGAGCTCTCACGAACCGAAATGGTTATGAAAAATTGGAGAGCAAGGAGAAGGCCAAAAAACAAAAACATAGATTGTGGGGAGAACCGGCCAATAAAAATGCCGCCAAGAAGGTTTCCAAGGACTCCTCCTACAGAGGAAGCTATCCAAACAAATGATTGGAGGCTGCCTGAGGAAGATGGTTGAGAGTGCTTGGTTGAGGAAGGAGGTTGTTTACCCATCTCTGCAACAATGGCATCATTTGCTACCTCAGCTATTGAAGCACCCAGATTACTAAGAAGGAGGTATATGGAGATAGTGAAAATAGATATGTTTGATGGAGAGATTGCTATGGCTAGCCATGACAATGCCTGCAAGAAAGCTGCATAAACAGATATAAAGATATCTCTTAGGAATTAGTTTTATCACTGGTAGAAATTAGAAATGTTATTATCATTTTTGCTTCTTCCACAGCAAAAGACAGTACAATACAAGCTCCATGATGAACAATTTTTAGTATTCAAAGATGTCAAAACTCAATATCTAGTTTCCATATGATAGAAACTACTGCTTAAAGGGAAATGGCTGATATTGCTGATTCAAATGTCTCAATTTTAAATACTTGATGGTCAAATCTCCATATATAAACAACAAACAACTGTCATGCCTTATCCCAAGTCACCATGTATAAGGAGAGGAAATGTTCTTTGGCATTGAGATCAACATAGTTCTAATTCAGGCCCCTTTTCTTAGTCAACTTCAGCGCGTGATTTCTTCCTAGCAGTCATATGGAAGAGCCATTTGAATACAGTTTTGCTAGGAGCTAGCTTTGTTTCTTAGGATGATTCCTTTTATCCCCTCTTTCCATCCCTTCTTCTAATAAAATTTCCTTCTATTAAAAACTAAAAACAAATGAATCCATTTCCATGACCATTTATCTGTTCTCCATTTCCTAGAAAGAATAGTGATCTTTCACATTTCCTTCATAAGGAAGCTGACAAAGTATTTACTTATCCTGTCTCTATGTTCAAGCAACAATGACTTTGTTCATTTAATTAGTTCCTATCCATGGATTTAGTGTTAGTTTTAAAAGGCCTTGTCATAGTCAAGTGTCAATTAAGTTTCAGTCTGAGGTCAGGATTTGGGTTTTTCTTTCTTTGTTTTTGTTTTCTTTTAGGAGTGGGAAATCCCTTTTCTGTCTGGCTTGATGCAGGGAAAAATAGATAATGTGTTACCACTTATTTTTGAAATAGAAAAAATAGAAAACTCTACCTCATTATTTTTCAAATCTGGAACCACACAAAAGCCCAGGTTCAAGAGAGGGGGGTTTCAGCCAATTCCTTGAGAAAAACAGTACTATATTCACCAAACCCGATTCTTAACACACAAAACAATTGATTTATTTACTAATATTTTAAAGATGAATAAGAAGAAAAAACTAATTCTCAATTCCCAATATGTTAAAGGTAGCAACCCAATTCTCGAGAGATAAAAGTTTCCAACTTGGGCTTTATGTGACAAAAATCAGAGAGAGAAATCAAAAGGGTATGGAGATAGCACATTACTGTTTACCTCCAAAGGCGATGTAAGGAACTCGATGCTGGCCAGAGATGTAGATGGAGTCTGAAACAAGGCCATAGAGGGGCTTTCCAACCATTGGAAGATTAGCTGAATTCTGAAGAAGTTGAAGAGTTGAAGGGTCCACATTGAGGCCATCCTTGAGGAAGAAACTCACTGCTAACCATGGGAAGCACCTGAATCCTTGAACCCAATACCCCAAACCCAAAAGCTTCCTAATTGGGTTTCTACCACCGCTACTTCCACTACCACCTTCCGCTGAAACCATTTTTACTTCGCTTTCTTAACAAATAAAAGAGAGAGATAGAGAGAGAGAGAGAGAGAATATGTAAATGTGGAGTTTTGGGAATTTTAAGGAAAAGCAGAGGTACTGTTATCTATTTCAGTTCTGTGCTTTACAATGACTAAGGTTGGGTGTTTGATGAGTACTAGGCCTAGGAGCGCACTCAATACGTGACACCTGTTGTTTCTGTCGCTGAATCACAACATTTTGTTTTTCAGTGACACGTGCTTTCCTTTCTCTTCTGACCCGCCTTTCTTTTTTTTTCTTTTCTTTCTTATGCTATGCTACTTTAACTTTTTATTCGAAGGTTATATTTATTTTACGGGCAGGTTATATTTATAAATTTTATTGTTTATAAATTTCTACAAATTACATTAAATAGGACTGATCCATATTAATCACACAGTGTACGACCGGTCTTACTTAGGAGCTGTTTGGTACACGAATTTTTTTCAGATTTTCGGGAAATTGAAATTTTTAAAATTTTAAATTTTCAGATATTATCGTAAATTGAATGTAAAAAATTATATTTTTAAAAATCGAGATTCCCGGACAAATAAAAATTTCTCCTGTACCAAACACTCCCTTAGTGTAATTGCAAAAAAAATTTGTAAAAGGATCATGTCCCTTATTTTATTTTATAAGAAATAAATAATTTTTTTATATGTATAAAAGAGGAATGAATTTTATCACTTTTTTTTCTCTCTCTTCTTATCTATGAATCTCACTTGTAATTTTATTTTCATAATATGAGATAATAATTTTTCTATAACATAACAAAAGTATTTTCTTATTTTGGCACAAGAGATTACCTAAGCACGTTTTGTCTTTTTATTTTTATTTTAAATGCGTATTTTGATTTTATTCATTTTCTTTATTGATAATTTGTAATGGCACAGTCAGATTCCATGGAATGTTCTTGCGGTATGATCTGATCTGGCTCGATTTCTTTTTTCTTTTTCTTTTTTAATAGATGTGTCACCGAAACAGGTATATGGCTGATTCACCATCTATTAACTCTATCAATATTTAAATAATACATAAAGGAGTATTTTTATTAAATTACTGGTATTAACAGTCACGTAATCATTTTCAATCGTTAAGTTTGATTTTCTTTTAATCAAACTTAATCTCACGGTTGAAACAATCAAATTAAAAAGAAAAGAAAAGAGATTTTTTTATATCATTTATCGATTTATTAATTATTCGATTAGTTCAAATCAAATTGGTTAGAATTATATATTGGGCGGCAAAGCTCCTCTATCAAATTTTAATAGGGAGTTACATTTTAAGAAAATGAATTCAAAATCACTAATTAAACTCGAATTATCCTTTATCCGTTAATTTACATGCTATAGAAAAGAGTTATTTAGAATCTCAATATTCCTCCTCAAATTAGTAGATAGAATATCACATGGAAATTTACTCGACAAGAGATTACTTTCTTAAGAATATTCACAGGTTGATATTCCAATTTTATTCTAGACAACTCAATCATCTGTTCAACTGCACGACGATGTTTTATTGATCAGTGACACGTGCTTCCATTTTTGTGCTGACGCATTTCATTTTGTTCCTATTCATTTTCTTTGCTGATAATTCCTAAAGTCACAGTCAGATTCTATGGAGTATTCTTGTAGAGTTGTCGGTAGATCTGATCTGACTTGAATTCTTTTATTTTTATTTTTAATGATGTATGAAAAAAAAAGGGATATAAACAAGTTTGTGCAGAAGGAATCAACCACAGTTTTTATAGAGCGAGCAAATATTTTTAGGTAAATAATCAATTTAACTCAACCGCTTAAATTGTTAAATGAAGGCATATTATTTTAAAAAAAAGGTATATTAATGATTATATTAATATACCAATGAAAGAATCATTATATATCATCGTAGTCATCGTCATTTTTATGTACACACTATTTTTCTTAAAAAATTAAGGACACAATTTCAGTTGTTACTTTCCCTTTATTACACATTTATCAAATAAATAAGGATACGGAGTTACTAATATAATAATTAAATACTATTATAAAATTATCTTGACCAGACTTACGAACATAACCCGCAATGGAATCTAGTCACTAATCAACCCATGTGGGAAAGCGATACAAATCTTATATAACATAACGAGAGATTAAGATTTTAAGATGATATCTTAAAAGCATCTGTCTTCTATTAAAAAAAAAAAAAAAAAAAAAAAAAACTGTCACCAAATCAAGAAATGACGAAACGAAGCCCATTTCATGAACAAATAAGTCAATGCAAATTAATGAGAACGAAATAGCCATGATAAAAAAGGCTTGTGTACATGTCATCCTCAAATTTTATAGTCATTCTTTATCGATCCACAAACCACTACGTGATAAATGATAATCTAATTAATAACACAACTTCGGTACCGACTCACACACTAATCAAAATACGGATGCACTATATATTTATTATGTTTGGGCATACTGAAAGAAGCTCAGAAGAACTAACCATAACAAGACATTGGTACCTAGAACGAGGATGCGGACTACATAATATAATAAAAAGCATTTACTTCATAAGAGGTTCAGAGAGCCTAAACAGATTGAAGACCAACAGGTTTAGTACATCAAACAGAAGAATATGATAGAACTGATTCAGAATACAGAGAGAAAAAAAAGTATTTATTGACAGAAAATCTTATCTCTGGATCTGTATTGATGGAATACAGGATCTTAAATGAGAAAATAAAGACCTTGTGTTTATTTTTTGTTACCCATGTGATTCCTAACGAGGTCCTAACAGAATCTCAAAGAACTAAAAGAAAATTCCATATATAATTTTCCCCATCATAACAGAAACATTTCATTTGGAAGAGTGTTATACAACAGTTAGAAGTGATACACTAATTAACCAGAAAACTCAACTAAGGAACAGTTGATTCAAATAGATTATTCAACTAGTTCTTAACCCTTAAATCTGCTTCATGCCTTTAGAATTATCTTCTAACCATTTGTTCGACATGAATATGGAAACTCAAAAACACATCGGACATTAGAAAAAATTTGTGATCTTGACCAACAATCTAACAACTCAAAATTCTACTCCATAACTGCAACTCCTCCAGCAGCTTTTATTTTTTCAATTATATTATTTGCCTCCTCTTTTGTGACTCCTTGTTTAAGCACAACTGGTACCTTTTCAACAAGATCTTTGGCCTCTTTCAATCCCAGGTTAGTAAATGCTCTTACCTCCTTAATCACCTTGATCTTTGCAGCAGCATCAAATTTCTCCAACTTCACATCAAATGCTGTTTTCTCTGCCTTTTTCTCCTCGACGTTTGGTCCAGCAGCTCCACCTTCAGGACCTAAGTCCATGCCTTCTGTTGAAATTGGCTGCAACTTTGGAATCTTTAATCTTTCTGCCAAAGTAGGCATAATTTGACTGCGTTCTTCTTCTGTTAGTGCTCCAATTCGTTCTGCAAGCTGAACGATCTTTTCTGAGGGTGGAGCTCTGGGGCCATAGGGATCATAAAATTGAGGAATTTTGAATTTTCTTGGCTTGGCCTTAGGATCTCTAGGAGCAACATCAGGATGGAAGGCACGAGATTGCAAAGGCCTGCATGTATCAGGCCACCGACGACAGCAAATTAATCTGGAAAGTGGGGTAAACCTCATGTCTTTGTTCAATCAAAATAGTAACTCATGAAATCAAGATGTTGAAAAAAGATGCTCTTTCAACAAACTAGTAGCACCCCAGTGATTAGCCGCCTGAAACAATTTCCCAACATGCTAAGGTTGAGCAGTGAACCACATGAAATAAAGCATATATGATAAGGAATACAGCATCAGATACTCATCCACATTCTCACCCAAATTATTTCATACAGAAGACTTGAAGAGATCATCATTAAAAGTTGAAAGATGGCAGAAAAAGTTAATCACATAAAACATCAACTTCAACACTTCCAATTTTGAATAGACATCTTCAAACCCACAAGTGTAACACCGCCTCACAAGGTCCACAAAAAAAACTAATGAATTTGAAAGTGTTCAAAACAACCTTGTGATAGTCCAATCTTGAGCAAAACAATTATGAGCCAAAGCCCTTTTTAAAAAACTTGACAAAAATCCAAGGCTAAAGTGTCACAACAAATTAGAGTTACAATTTGCAAAAATGATGAGACAGAAGAATTATATAGAAAAGTATATGTATCAAAATTCAAAAGTCATGGTATTTGGACTTGTTGTACCCGGCCAATTAATTGGGTTGTGAGAAAGCCGCAATGTGAACCTAAATAGTCACATAGTAGTAGATTAATCTTAAAACTGACATAATACTAACATAATTAGTCAATGGAAGTTACAAAGACCTGAATATATCCCCTTAAATGCAAGGGCATAAAAAGAAAAGAAAAATGACAGCACTTCATTTTCAAAAAAAATTATGTTTCATTCTTAATGACTTGAAGGCAGGAGTTCAACAACAGAACACTACAGTAATGCTAGAGAGAGGGTCTTGATAAAAGAAATATCAACTTCCAAAGCATGGAAAAGAACAAATAGAAAAGCTCCCTATATTTCAACTTTTGAAAATGTCAGGACTTGGGAGTAAAAATGATAACACCAAATACAATTGTAGACAAACAAGCTCGTGCCTAATTATCAATCTTGCTATTATAATCAAGTTTACCAGTTCTTTCTCATTTGTAATTCAGACTTCAGAGTTTCAGTCCTCTTACTAACACCACCGATTAAGCAACCAAGATCAAATGTACAACACAATATAAATTGCTTTCCAAACTCCAATTCAAATAGCACACGAAATAGATCCCACCTATTTAAACAACCGCAACCATATCTAAAAGGAAACCTATATTGCCGATCCTAACAGATTAATCACAAAGGAAAAAGTAATTATATTAGATTTTGCATTATAATTGTGGAGACGATATTGCGGAGACTATATTCTCCACAATTCAAGAGGAAGTGCCATGGTGTATGCTTTTTGCAGACAATATTGTGCTTATTGATGAGAGCAAGGATGGTGTTAATAGAAAACTTGAATTGTGGAGAAGCACATTGGAATCCAGAGGATTCACATTAAGTCGAAGCAAGACTGAGTATCTGAAGTGTGAGTTTTCTCTGGTACGAGATGAGGACCAAGAACCTGTGCATCTAAATGGTCAAGAGGTACCCAAAAAAGATGCTTTTAAATACTTGGGCTCCATTTTACAAAACGGTGGAGAGATTGATGAGGATGTAAATCACAGAATCAGAGCAGGGTGGATGAAATGGCGCAGTGCATCTGCATTTTTGTGTGACCGCAAAATCCCCCTGAAGTTAAAAGGAAAATTCTATAAAACGGCAGTAAGACCGGCAATGCTATATGGAGCAGAATGCTGGCCAGCACATAGGCAACATGAGCATAAGATGGGAGTAGCAGAGATGAGGATGTTAAGGTGGATGTGTGGTTACACAAGGATGGATAAGATAAGAAATGAAGATATTCGACGAAAGGTCGGAGTAGTACCGGTAGCCGAGAAGATGAGAGAACATAGATTGAGGTGGTTTGGGCACGTGATGAGAAGACCCATGGATGCTCCTGTAAGAACAGAAGTTTGTTACCAAGAGCTCAACACAAAAAGAGGCAGAGGTAGGCCGAAGCTTACTTGGGGGAAAGTAGTAAAACAAGATTTAATGGAGTGGGATATAGATTGGCGGACAGTATGTCTTAGAACGGAATGGAGAAAAGCTATAAGTATGGTGGAGGGTTAGACCCGCTGTTATTCCTATGTTCCAGATGGTCCTTTTTTAGTCCTTTTCCCCTTCATATCCCCCACTTCCTCTTGTCCCTTTCTTTTTTACTTTTATTTATTTATATATACATATATTGTTATTTTATTTTATCTTATTTTATATTTTTATTTTATTTGTTTATTTTTATTTATTTATTTTTGGCTCTTTTTTTTTTTTTTTTCAACCGTTTTGTATCTTTCATGTGGGTTCATCTACCACCGATCCCAATTAATTTGGGATAAATGTGTTGTTGATGTTGATGTTGATTAGATTTTGCATTATATGGAATAATTAACACAGAAAAGAAAAGAAAAGAAAAGTTAAAGTCAAAAGTTCAAACTACGAACAAGAATATAGCCAGATAACAAATAAAAGAAACCAGATTAATCACAAAGGAAAAAGTAATTATATCAGAATTTGCATTATATGGAATAATTAACACAAAAAAGAAAAGAAATGTTAAAGTCAAAAGTTCAAACTACGAACAAGAATATAGCCAGATAACAAATAAAAGAAACACACAACAATGGAGGCATTATTTGGGAAGGCAGATCACAGTGGGGACTGATTAAAAGGCCCTCAAACCCCATGAGCAGCGTGTCACCCGTGAGGATCAACAAAAATGGTTGCTTAAGTTACTGGGTTATGATTTCTCCAGTGAGTACAAACCGAGGTTAGAGAATAAAGCTGCTGATTTTTTTATCTCATAAACCCATGGCTGAGCAGTTTTTCTTGGCTATTTTGGTAGTCCAATGGCAGGAACATGATTAGATTAAGGATAAAATTTGGGCTGATTTGCATTATGGGCATATAGCTCGAGAATTGACAGACGACCTTACCAGCCACCCATATCATCATCTAAGTAGGTGTACTTTGCTCTACACATACTATGTGGTTCTCACACCCATATCGTCTCTTTTGCCCACGTTATTGACAGAGTTCCGCTAGACACATATTGGGGGCTATTCCCTTTTTGTTCCTGCACATACAAATGGCTCATCCATGTTTCTTCTGGGTTGGAATGCAAGCAGCTGTAAAACACTTTGTGACTGTGTTTGAAACTTTCCAGAGGAATAAATATCAAGCATTGAGCCCAGCGGGACTTTTCCAACCACTCCGGATTCCGGACAAGGTATGGGACAACATCTCCATGGATTTGGGGGGATTAAGTAAAACTAAAGGGGGCAACACTGTTTTTGTGGTTGTAGACAGACTATCGAATTTTTCCCATTTCATTCTGCTCACTCACCCCTATACCTCTAAGGAAGTGGCTACCGTGTTCCATCAACATATTGTTCTTACCCACAAAAGTCAAACCATTGTCTACCGATAGTGATAAGGTGTTTCTCAGTTTGTCATGTACCCACCAAAGTCAAACCATTGTCTATGATAGTGATAGGGTGTTTCTCAGTTTGTTTTGGACAGAATTGCTTCGGGCAGTCGGTATCAAGCTCCATTTGATTAGTGCTTATCACCGGTAAAGCAACGGACAATCTAAGGTGGTTAACCAAAGTTTGGAATCTTATTTACACTAATTTTCCTCACAACAGCACTGTGATTCAACAATTGGCTACATTGGACGAAATACTGGTGCAATACATTGTACCACTCCTCTACTCTATTGGATTCACCCCCTTCCAGATAATGTACTATGGACGCAACCCACCCACATTGTTTTGATTGGTTTTGATGGGTCTCAAGTTGCTGATGTTGAAAGTGCTTGGGAAGACTTTGAGACTGTCAATGAGCATTTCCCTAAATTTTACCTTGAGAACAAGGTGAAGCTCAAAGACGGGGTATTGACAAACCCTTGGTATCAAGGGTGTATGTTTGAAAGACTAGGCACAGACATAGTGGAGCCTTAGGGTGCCACATGGAATAGTGGGAATAACAGAATTCTGTTAGGGAAGAAGGGAAGAATACTGAGGAGTAGAGCAGGGTAGAGTAGCAGGTAAGGAAGAAATTGGTAAGTGGTAGTGTGTGGGTTGCTGTAAGGTGCTTGAGAGGGGGTGGGGTGGGGGGCTCTCAGCCACAGTAGCTGTTCATGTTCTTTCCGTTGGTTGTGAGTTTTGGTAACTAACACTTCGTAATCAGAATTTCAGTCCACGAGCTAACACTATTGATTACACTTTACAGCACCCAAGATGAAGTATACAACAAAATATACAGTGGTTCCCAAACTCCAATTTAAATAGCACATAAAATAGATCCCACTAATGCAAACAAAAGGAACCATATCTAAAGAAATTTCTATCCATAACAGATTAAACACCCCGCCCCAACTCTTCCATTTTGCAAAACTTTGGTGAGTATTACACAACATAAGAGAAGAGGGCACAACACAAACAGTTAGAACTCAAAGCAACTTACATATATGAATTTCATGGCATTTCAAAGCATGCATTTATATCACAAAACATTGCTGCAACATGGACTTATATACAAGACGACACTCACAGCCAGGCTAACATAATATTCAGAAAAAAAAAAATGCACTCACCTCATTCACACCAACGTATTTTAAAAAAAATTCAAACTTTCATCAAAACAAACCAGGCTCAAATCAAAAGTAACCTAGTACCCAACCAATCGAATCACATTAATACCAGCACATCCAGCAAGCAATAGAGTAATTCATTGGTCAGGTATTTTATCAAACAGGTAATATGCAAGTACTATCGAGCAATGGATTTTGATTTGGAAATCGAAGATCTAAGTTTCAAGGCTTTATCCAAATTAGCAAACAATGCAATTTAGATAACAAATAAAAACTAAAAAAATTAAAAAAAAAAATATGGTAAAAGGATTTATTACCTGAAGCTTCAGCTCATAGGAGAACAATCAGTGTAAAACGAAGAACGACGAACTAATGCTTCAAAGTCTAAAATTGAAAAATGAAGAAAAGAAAAACAAATCACAGTGTGCGTGTAAACAATGAAGGGAAGAAGATGACGTCACGTGGGTTTACCCATGGATAAACCCTACCCTAAGTCATTTACCCTGTGGATTAGGAAAGGAAGCCCAATCAAAAAATGGGCTTAGATCCATGGTTGGGCTGTTTATTGGGCTTTAATCTATGTTAACGCCTTTAGATAATGAGAATATGCATATTTCACAATTCATATGGACTTGACACGGGAATGAAACACAATACAGAGTCCTACAGGAAGAAACATTTTGACCTCAACAGACGCGTGTCCATAATTAACATCTATATATATATATATATAAGGGAGGATATTTTGACTACCAAAAATTTTCACTACCACCTTACTACCTATCTAATCACCATTGAATTAACATTTTCTCTCTCTTCAAAACTTTTTAACATTCTCTCTCTTTGATCCAATGGTGATTTGATAGGTAGTAAGGTGGTAGTGGACATTTTTGGTAGTCAAAATATCTCCCTCATATATATATATATATAAGACAGTTCAATGTTGGAAACTTTGCAGATGTGTCCTCTTCTCATGCAATCTGAGCTTTGTGTTCACACTGTTTCATTTTGAATTTTTTCCTCTTTTAGAAACTTTTTTAATTAAAATAAAATAATTTTAAAATATTTTTGAATTAATTTTAATTAAAAACGTTATTAATTTCTTTTTGTGAAAAATGGTGAAGCTTTTATATCAGTTCACCTTTTCAATCTATATATATATATATATATATATATATATATATATATATATATAAAGAACAGTTCAATGTTGGAAACTTTGCCGATGTGTCCTCTTTTTCATGCAATCTGAGCTTTGTGTTCACACTGTTTCATTTTGAATTTTTTCCTCTTTTAGAAACTTTTTTAATTAAAATAAAATAATTTTAAAATATTTTTGAATTATTTTTAATTAAAAACGTTATTAATTTCTTTTTGTGAAAAATGGTGAAGCTTTTATATCAGTTCACCTTTTCAATGCAATTAAATCTCACTACCTTCTCCTTGGAAAATGTTGGGCACATGCATCTATATATATTGTTAAACATTTTAAAATTGTAAAATGCGAAACAAATAAAAAAAACGTTTTATTGAGTTTTGATTTAATTGAGTTGTGGTGGCAACACCTCATTCAATGCCCAACTAAGCTGTTTCATGTTAGACTTTAATGATGATTTTTAAATTTGAATTGAGAGGCTCTTTTCAAAATTTCAAATTCAAACTGATCATGATTTCTACATTGGAATGATCAGCTCTTTTAAAACAAGAAATGATTTCGATTTAAAATTTCAAAATATGATTTTGGTTTTGTTTTTGAAATTTCATCTTTTAAATATTTCGATTTAATTTTTTAAATTCAAATTGTAATGGTGGCAGACAATTTGGTAAATTGGAAAAAGTATTTCTTTTAAAAATAAAAAATTCCTTTTTTTAAATTCGTAAAAAAAACAATTGTGGTGGCAGACAAGTCATTAAATGTCCCACTGCTGTTCACATTGGAATTTGTCAGCTAATTTAATTGCTTTTTACATTGGAATTGGTCATCTGATCTAAAATTCGAATTTTGAATTTAAAATATGGATGATGGAGAAAGATTTGGAAAGTTTTGGGTGGCATTCAGCTAATTCTATGAAAGGGAACGTTGTGCATTGTTTCTTTGAGAGAAATTCTTTTAGAGAAATATCCTGCTTCTTTTCTTATTTTCCGTCTTCTCAAACGAAATAGTTTCAAGATATGATTTTATAAAGGATCATAATACTGATCGTTTTTTTATTGTTTTCGTGGCTGTTGTTATGATTTTCGTTTTTTGTTGTTGTCGATACTTTGTCTGTGTATATCGTATTTCATGCTGTGTTTTTTTTTCGTTCGTATGTGAGCGGATGTTGTATTATTATTATTATTTTTGTTTACTTTATAAACAAATTGCTCTGAATTCGTTTTCATTTTTTGTATACTAATTCTCTTTTTTTTCATTTTCCAGGAAAGAAGGTTTCATAATATTGTTACACATATAATTTTTCAGGTTAAAGATGGAAGTGAACCATAATGTTACTAGCAGGCACCTACCTGATAGCAAGATATTAGAGATGAAACAAATCCAAAGGCTCTGGTAACTCTGGGAATGGCTTTGTTTATACTCATGTTTATTAGCAGATAACATAATGATTTAGAATTTGTAAATTTATGTGATAGTGTAAATGACATTCCTAACGTGCACGTTTTTGTGGTTAAATTATCCTTTGGCTTGGAAGGGAACTAATAAAATTAAAGTCATAATGCTCAGAGCACGCAACAAGAAGGAAGTGAAGTGGAGTGGAAAAGCCTTCAAGAAACTGAAAAACCTTATAATTCTGATTATTGAAGAGGCAATCTTTTCTACAGGCGCCCAACATCTACCAAATAATTTGAGAGTGCTAGATTGGAGTTATTATCCATCGCAGTTTTTACCATATGATTTTAGTCCCAAAGAACTTGAGATACTCAATATGTCCAATAGTTGCCTTAAATTCCTCCAACCACTGAAGTCATGTATCAGTTTCAAAGTTTTTATTGTTAATATATTTTCCTCTTAAAATTTCATAACTTAGCGTCATTTGTTGTTATTTTGCAGAGGTTTGAGACCTTGCTTTCAATAATGCTTGAAGGTTGCAAGTTCTTAATTGAACTACCAAGCCTATGTGAAGTACCATTCTTGATGAATCTGACTCTTGATAAATGCACTAATTTAGTTAAAGTTCATGATTGGGTTGGGTTTCTTGATAATCTCCACTCCTTGAATGTTACAAGATGCACCCACTTCTTAAATGTGCTACACAAGTGGGTGGTCACTGGATGTCATTATTAGAAATTTTGTTTCTCAGCTCTCGGTTTTAGATTGATAGATTTTGTATTTGAAAGTACTAAATTCAGATATGACTGTCATACTTCAAACGGTGCATTGTATTTTCTACTCTCCAATTTTTTCTTCCAAAAAATGGTGTTTCACAACCTTGCATTTGATAATGACATCAATGAATACAAAGGTGAAGATATTCATTTTGCAATAGATTTCAATTGCTACAAATGGAAATCCAAACAAATTTTTAGATAATTTACATGAGAACGATAGCATGAGTTTAATGAAAATTTAATTTTTCCACTTTAAAAAACGTTTCAAATTGAAATTTTTTATTTCATAAGTGAAATTTTTTTTCAGTATTCATTATAAAATATTTCACTTTTCAGATTTGAATTTTAAATTGATGGGCTAGGATTAGTGGGCCTAAGAGTAGCAATGCAAAATTAATTAATGAATTAGTTAGTTTGTTATGGAAATTATTCTAGAATATTCCTAAATAATAGGATATAAGGAGGGGATGTGGGAGTGTGAGGTATGCAATGTATTCAGAATATTTGGAGTGAGGCTTTTGAAAAGGATCTCTTGGGATCTCTTTGGCTTAGGTAAATGGCTTGAGAATGAGTGAGATCTTTTGGTGTTTTACTTGTTATTTCTTTGTATTTCATGTTATCCCTTTCTTACGCTTACTGTTTAGTGTCTTTATGATGAATCTGAGATAATGGAAGTATTTTACTATTCAATTGTTGTTATCTTTCTTGTTGAATATTCTGGGTTCCATCATAAAATTTGAACTTGATGTGTGGGAAAATAGGTCATCGTTTATTACAAATATAAAATTACACTACTTTCTGCATTGAAAATTGAGTCTATTGATTTTGCTACGTTCAAGAAAAACTATAATAACAATGAAACCACTTTAAAATATTTCCTATTTAATAAGTTTCTAAATTCGAAATTTTAATTCAAATTTTTAATTCTATCACTTCTTGATGCATTGAAATTGGTTAAGTTTATTAATGATATTTATTATTATACCTAAAAAAAATTTATACATAGGTAATTGTTAACCCTATTAATATCCCACTATTGAGCTTAATTAGTAAAAAAAATAAAATTATTTTGTGTATAAAATTATATATTAAATAAAAAAATATTTAAAATTATAAAAACATATGCATTGTTGATAAAAACAAATTTAAATTTAAATTTAAATAAAAAATGAGAAATGACATATTTATACTTTAAGAAGAAATGAATTAAAAATTTAAGTTAAAAAAGAATACAAAAAAAGGTATGCGTACAAGGATTTTTATTTAAAAATATCAACATAAACATTTTAAATATATAGGTATAATTAATATAAAAACTTATAAAATAAAAAATTAAAAGATTAAAAAATTAATTTTTCAAAAGATATGTGTCATTAATAAACATTTTGTTATTAATTTTAAAATATTTTAAATTAAAATTGTTATTAATTTGCTGATATTTTAAATTAAAATTGTTATTAATTCATTTTCGTGAAAATAGTGCAGCTTTTTATTATGGTTCAGATTTTAAATTATATCATGTTTCTTATATAATTAAATTTAACTCGCAAAAATTATAATGTTTTTAATCAAAAATTTAATATGAAATTATTATTATTGTTTTTGTTTAAAAAAACTTTTTTTTGACAAGTCTATTTGAAATTGGAAATGTTGGAAACTGACATTTAAAGTTTGAAATTTAACTCCATAATTCAATATGAAGTTAGACGGTTGCCTTCTTCGTATGTCTGACTTTTTGTATTGTAAAATTGTTTTTTACAAAATTATTTATATTGTAAAATAAATTTGAAATTTGGAAATAAAATATTTAAAATTATAAAAATACATTTATAGTAGATAAAAATTATTTAAAATATCAAATTTAAATGAAAAATAAGAAATGGCATAATTTATACTTTACAAAAAATAAATAAAATTTTGATTCATACATGTATAATCAATTAAAAAAATATACATGTATTTTTATAAAAAAATATTTAACATAAATATTTTAAATATACATGCATAACCAATTAAAAACATATATAAAAATCTTAAATTAAAATAGAAAAAAGTTATATATAAAAATATGTATAGTTAATATAAAAAAATTTAAATTTAAATTTTAAATAAAAAATGACGTCGATCATT